GTCTGACGCTCTAGGGTCTAAAAATCCCCATGCAGGGAAGAGGGAGGCGCCTAGGCAGTCCAGAGAGAAACACTCATGGGCCATCAGGCCTGGACTGTCTCTTCCTGAGTCTTGACACAGCCAATTTACACCAAGGAACCAAACGCAAAAGGCTGTGGATACCGTTCCTCTTTTCAGTTTCCCAGACTTGGATAGGGAAAACAAAGCTTTTCCTTGACACTGCACTCCACTCAAAGCCACAGGAACCTCTGTGCAAAACTTCCCTCTTTCATGCCTCTCCTCCAAAGCCTTTCTTCCTTGTCGATTAGCATTATGCAAAGTACCCAACTGATGATGCCAATGAGACTTCAGGCAGAAATCCATCTATTTCTCCCCTCCATCTCTTAATTAACGTGGACTTTAATTACATTTCCCGTTTTCATGACAAAATATGTTTCTCTCCTGAACCTACCCTCCTCGAGATCATTATGAGAGCTCTTAATAATAATCACCATCATCTGTCTACCCTGAGAGTGAGGGGGGGGGACACCTGCTCCATCTTCCCAAGTTAGCCCATCCCACATAGCCCCCGGTCACTCAGCCCTTGGAGAGCCACATGCTCTGGTCCTGTGCCAATGGAGAGAGGTGGAAGCAGTCCTAACAGGTTGGCATGACATATTTCCAGGGCTGGATAGTGCCTGAAGGTTTTGGCTTCAGTGAAAGACATTACAATTCCAGGGTGCGCACAGAAACAAAGTCAGTTTCGGGAGGTATTACAGATTCTCTTGTTTTCAAAGGTGAGGTTGGGCCACCCTTCTGCTGAAGATGTATCCTCACTGTCTATACAAGGCATGGCAAACACTGCTAGGGAGCTTTGCAGTAACACTTAGCTGGCTCACAGACTTAGGCAGTCAAAAAACAAGGAAAACTTTCTAATACATCCCCCATTCTCACTGATTCAGCCACTAGAAAAGCAATCACCTTAGTAAACCACAAAGCAACTATTTCCAGGGAGGAAGTGAAAACTGAGGAATCAGTCCCTATGCATTCTGATGGGAGCAGGCAAGAAGCTGATACAATTTACACAAGCATGGACCTGGTGCAGTCAGGTTTTCATGAAACTCAGGCATTTGTGTAAAGGTCACTCAAACCATTACCACCCCATTCAGATGCAATCTGTCATGGCAGGTAGGCTGAGTCCTGCACTGCCATCGACCCTGTGTTTGCAAACTCAAAATCAGAATTAGCTCTCAGATTTACTATTTTATCTGAATGTGCAAAATTCACCAGGCAGCTGGTGGCTTTGTCAGCTCACAGAGGTCTAGGAAATAAGGTTTTTCCTTAGTTGTTACATGACCCCCCAGACCTGCAGTGCTCCTCAAAGACAATATCTATCCCTCCTAGCAGCAAAACGTAAGGCAATACCAAACTGAATACCAAAATATGCCATGTTTGCTTTAGTTTACAGACAGACAGAAGACAGCAAGTTGCCCACCTCTTCCACTGTCGAGTTCTAAAGAATCAGCAATACCCCAGATACAGAGCAGACATGACATCAGGCTCTTGGGACCAAGGCAATAAGGGCAGCATCAGGGTGATCACAACTGAAATGACTATAAGTATGGCCCAGACACAGTCCACAAGGCAAGGACTGCATGATCCAAATGTACAGCTAAGTGCACCATGTGTAATTTGGACAGAAAGAAGAGCTCCCTGCAGAGCTCCATGCAAGGGCAGCAAGCATACCATGAACACAGACTGTGTGTCTGCTGCTTGCAGAAAACTCTATTCCTCCTCACAGTCACACACTGCAAGAAAGCCAAGCTAATTGCCCAAGCAAGAGAGTGTTGATAAGTGTGGCAGAATGGAGACGATGCCCCTTTAAATGTGACTAAAGTGTTGTCAACGGATCTGCCATGGTAGAGGAGTTAATCCCCCCCAAGCCCCTCTCAGCCACCGTGATGGGATAATTAGATGCGAGGGCTCAGCACAGACGATGCTCCGGTCGCTTAGCAACTAATGGTTTCCATGGAAACAGCAAAGCACAGCCTTCGGAGCAGCAAGTGAGCAGTGCAGCAGGGCAGGGAAAGATGCCTTAAACTCCTGCACTGATCCTCTCCTCCAGAATCACTCAGAGGCCTCGAGGTATTAAGGGAATAAGAAGGGGGTGCCTTAAAGATACAATATCCCTGTTTCAAGCAGTAGTACTAAGAGAAGGGGTTTTTTTTCTGACTAAACTTTCACTGACATGGTCCTCCTAATCTCAGTGACTCTCCATGAACAGGACAAGCAAGGCTGAATCCTCTTATGCAGAGGCTTATGCCCCAGCACATGGGTCACCCTGCTATAAGCAGCTGAGTGTTCATCATCAATTCTTGCACCTGGGGGCTAAGAAGTGAAACACATACAAACACAAATGTATTTGCATTTTCAGCACTGTCACATAAGCAGCCATGTATAGGCATCCAGCCTGGCTCTGAACCAGAAGGCAAAGGAGGTTTCCTTTAGATTCTGCAGCTTCACAACACATATAAAAGTGACACCACCTATATGTGGCATGGAGAGTTTCACCAGAAAAACAGAGATCAGATTTACTAACCTTAACCCAAGACTGTCATCTGCTACTTCCTTCAACATGACCAATTCCTACTGCTTTATTACCACTCCTCCCTGCTTGAGTCAGCATCCCACTGTTTCCAAGCACTGCAGCGATGACCTGCAGCACCTGCACTAAATACCACGTGTGCTGTGCAGCTGCACAGCACACTCCCATCATCTCATGAGCTGAGCAGAGACAAGTTCTGTTTGCATTTGATAAGAGAGCTCTGGAACACTGAGCTGGGGCTATTGATTCAGTACTAGGTGGTCTTCATCATTCTCACATTATGCAGGGATGGCCTGCAATACTGCCTCTTTGCACATGACAGCCCTATGTGTTAAAGCTTTGCATACCTCTCAGGTCCTGATGGCACAGGAGGAGGTCTGGAAAAACAAACAAACATTGCAAAAACAAGCCTTGCTTTCCTCCCCTCCCCTCCATCCAGCCCCGCACTTGTGACACAGTACGAGGCACCCCTTTCAGAGACGCGAGCAGACTGTGCCTTGGGCACTGGCTGCAGCACTCGGTGCTTTTCTCCTCCCCTGTAGGAGGAGACTTGGCAGAACGCACTCGCCTCGCCGTCTCTTCCTGGCAGAAATAAATGGCGAACAGGACAGACCCCTTCCTCGGGCAGCATCTGTGCCGGAAGGTGGCACATACTGCTGGCTAGGGACAGCCAGGCTGGGCTCTGGAACCCCTACGTGCGTCAGTCAAAGTCATCAACTCAGTGTGTAGCTCCTTTCTCGCCTCACTGCACACAGTACCTCACCCTCCCTGCAAACCTAGGCTCCCTGCAAACCTAGGGGATGCCAGTTGTGGCACCCAGGAGGGATAGAGCATCCCATGAGCCAGCCTGCACACACGGCCAACTTAGCCACCAGCCAAGTCCCCTCCCTGGAGTCCTGTCCTGATCCACCCAATGTTTCAGGAAGGCACCGGAGCAGAGACACCAAAAAAGTCATAGGCCGTTTCAGACTCTGTCCCCTATGGCGTTCAAAGAGGGAAATCAAAGGGAAATGCCGTGCTTTGTTCTGTGGGGGAAAGGCACGAAAGGTGAGTGGCGGCAAGCCCAGCAGAACCAGTTGCTTCAATCGTCCTCCAGCTCACTTTTGAAGTGGTTTTAAAAATCAGGGAGGAGGGGAAGAGACCCGAGTTCAGCTCTTTTATTGCAACTTCACAGAATTTGAGGATGTGGGGGGTAAGAGGCTGACTTTCCCCTGCCAGAAAAATAGTGTATCCATTGAGAGAGAATATGGCTAATAAAAAAGGCTGCGAGGCTCATCAAGTACATGTCTGGTGTTCTCATATCCCGAGGAGGCTACGAACAGCTATGATGACAGGAGCACCTACCTATGGTGCCAGAGACACACCAGGCATCTGCAGGAATAACAAGGCACCCTGGCAAAGCCCCTGGTCCCATGCTGATAGAGCGACCAGTCACAGCCTTCTTCCTGTCTCATGTTCCCTATCTTCGAGTCCACTTGTGCTTTCCCCATTGCCTCTCTTTAACAGAAAGGACTGCTTTTAACCCCAGCCCATGCAAATCCTGGGAGCTCTTTCTATGTTACTGTCACAGCATCAGCCACTCTGCAGCACGGGGAACTGAAGCAATACTAACATAGCAGGAATGGCCCTGTGCAAGGATAAGCCACCTACTGTACACCCTGTACTGGGAAGAGGAGAAAAAAAGACTAACTACTTAATTGGAAATTAATCTCTATTCTACTACAGGAAAAAAGTATATATGAACCCCAGAGCTGATTGGCATGACCAGTATCCACAAGGGTCCCCACAAAGTCCAATGAGTTTGCTTCCAAAAAAACACCATCAGCTGGGCAAAGCCCAGACAAGAGATGATATGCTTGATATCCTGATGTCACCATGGACAAGCAGATGTCACTCTATACAAATTCAAAGCTTTCAAGTTCTGAAGAATGCCACAGCCATGAGCCAGACTCAAGTAACAACTCTGAGTCAGAAAGCAAGTTATAGAGCTGCCCTATCTTCAGGGAAGAGAGCAAGCTTGCATCCAATATCTTTCAGAAACAGGAGCAAATACAGTGTCTCTGGCTTGCTGAGAAGACTCCACAGAGCACATTCACATGAAGCCATAAGCCTGGCTGAAGGCATCTGCCTACACCTTACACAAAAGCCAGACACCCTGAGAAGCAGTTGACCACACCTGTAGTTATGCCTTGAATCTGAATTATCTTTTCTCATGATTTGCAAACAGTCAGTTTTAATCTGAAACACCAAGAAATGGGAATTGGCAAGAAATGAGAACTGCACTTGCCCCAACCCCAACTTGCAGCCTTACAAAGCTTCCCTGTAGTTATTGTGCTTACAAGGTGTGTGGGAGTAGGTGAGACAGGTTTTCAGTTAAACTATCCCATTAATTGGCTTCTGCACAGGTAACACTCACCTGGAAAGAGCTGACTTTGAAGAATCCAGATGTTCTGAGCCAAGACACCTCCAGTTTGTCACCTCTCTGTGTTTTCAGCTTCCTTCGTGATGCAGACAAAGAGGTTGGGTGTTGGGGAGCCCAGCTGGTTCTGGGTTCTCAGTAAACTGAGATACTGAAGATGCAACTTCTTACACCTGGCAGAGGGTTAACCACAGACAGCAGGACTGTAACACAGAGTGGGTTTCCTGTTAGGATACTACCCTATGGTGTTAGGACATGTGGCTGTGTGTCCAATCATGAGTTGTTATGAAGTGCTAAACCAATGCTGTGTGTACATGTGTCACCCCAGAACTGTATAAAGGTAGCTGTACCGTTGCAATAAAAAAGCTGCTGGTATCCTGAAACCCATGTCGCCTTCCCGCCTCGACTGCGACAGCTGGCTGCTTTGGCCTTCTGCATGTGACAATGGGTTCTCTTCTATCTTCTGTTCCACCTTCTAAAGCTAGAAGGGGGGCCAAAAATTGAGATGGCTTTAGGATACAAGCATGAGCCCCTGGATAAACCATAAGGCATAATTGCAGATTAACAATTGGCAGATTGACAGATTTACATTTTATTTGTCACAAGTTAGCTGTATCAGTCTGACCAAGATCCCTTTCCCCTGGGAAAGCAAGGGTAGCAAGGAAGAGCTCAGAGGTTACGATGCTTTCACCCAGAACACACAGCATACAAACCAGTGGGACTGGGATTCAGCAATTGAATGGCCAAAGGCAAAATTAAGGCCTGATACACACAGGCCTTTATAGCTTTTTCCTATACCTAATGGAAAGGTTCATGGTTGCAAACATACCTGTTTAAAACATTCTTAGGCTTTAAGCTGGAAATCAGCACTTCTGTTTCCAGTCTTGCTTCATGGCACAGACTAGGCAGACCACAGGGCTCAGTTCCTGCTTTACCTCTGTTTGTTATGGCAGCACCTCAAATCTCTACCAGTAAGAAGTAAACATTACCACGTGGGGGAATGCTTTCCATTGCTGCAGCAGAGCAGGAAATATTAGAAAGCTCTTTTCACACCTTTTTTTTCAGGAAGGGTCTAAGTACAACTGTTCAAGGCTTCTCTAGGTGGAACACTATCAAATTATGTTATACCCAACCCACCTTCCCTGGTGTCACTTACCAGTTCCACACACCAGTACAGCCTTCTCTGAGGACACGGAAACCTGGGGAAAGATGGAAAAAAAAAACCTCTGATCAGCTGCAGAGGGAACTCTCAGTAGCTGAAGCTGCTCTGTAGCAGCTTTTGCTGGAGAGCCCCAACCCAACTTAAGGGCCACTGACTCTGAGCAAGTTACAGGTGAATACACTGCAAAATTCCAGCTCACACGGCCTCTGGTGGCCAAGCCATGGGCTCCAGTTATCCTCCTCCAGCTTTGCCAGGCTGCTCTTCCCAGGGCATCTCCTGCAAAGTGGCACAGAGAACCATGTCTTCCCATGGGCAAGTCCATCACTTGGAATATTCTTCTGTCTTTTACTCATCAGTGCCTCACAGGCTTTTCAAAAGCCATGCCTGGCTGAAGAGCAAGCAGGTCAAGAGATTTCATCTGCAAGCAAGGTCTAGCTATTGCAGGACTTCTTTTACTACCCCCCCCCCCAAATACTCACATTGTTCTGAGATTATTAACATAACTGCATCCAGTCTAGCCCCCTGGAGTAAGCTTATTTCTGAATTACCAAAGGTTAGGTAGGTAGGTGAGGTGTCTATACGAGCGTGCATGTAGATAATCACAAGCTTAATGAACTACCATGCCTCAGCTGATGTGCACACCACTGTGTGAGAGTTTGACTCAAGGTAGAAAGCGAAAAGCAACTTTGTGGTGTGGCAGGTCAAGTGATATGTGGTAAATTATTAAACTATAGTAGCCAGATTGTTTGCAACACATCCCAAGTCAAACACCAGACTCCAGTCTCAGGAAGGCAAAAGGGCTTTGATTGGGATGTGCAGAGTTTTTGAAGAAAGCAGCCAACTGTGTAGGTCCTGCTCACACCTGAAGGTTCTAACAGGGATCACATTGTTTCCACTAACTGGATTTTGTCACACAAAGGTGGAAAAAGTTGCGCTACTGTAGTCTTTTGCATCTAGCAAAAGCAAAGACATACTGATTGCCTAACAAGAACTAAGCAAACCTCGATACAGTGTAAACTATCACACTGTTGAAGGGGCAAAATTGAGCATCCCAGATCCTTCTCTACCCTTTGAAGGTTTTCTCTTTAAGAAGAGTTTGGTCTGGTGTTTGACTTATTTTTCAACAGCCCATCTCAAAACACACAAAGGGTGAGAATAGTGACAGCAAAAAGTGCGGGAACATTTGGCTCCAAGCCCAGCAGAGCAAGCCTGCAGTGGAGAAAAGCACCTTCCCCTTTTCTTTCATCATGCAGAAAAAAACCCCAAACAACTCAAAGCCACAGTTTTGATGCAAGGGTCACAGAATTCACTTTTAAGCTGAGATTCTCCCAACACCATGGCACTAATATTATGGCACAACCTTTTCCAGAAATTGCCAAAACCAGCCTCTTTCTGTTAATCTCCTTGCTCAGATGAGCAACAAGTCCCTGATGTGCTCCTCTGCTATGAGCATAACCTGCATCCTCCTATAACATGCTCAATATATGTAGACTCTGAAATCTAATTCCTGCTGGTACTAAGCCAAGACTTAGATTTTGATTTGAAGCTGCTCTATTTCCATACGTGTCACCTACCTCTGCTGTGCCCCAAGTGGAAGTGTGATGGTGAGTGGGTGAACAGTATGAGTACGTATTGCAACCACCCATTCATAGCACAGACGTGAATGCTGCAGTCGTTATGGCCCAAGTAACAATTGCAACTTCCGTTCCTCTTCCCCCATCCCTCTCTGTTTGGCCTATGATTCCTTTGGACTCCTTTCACCTGAAACATGTACCATGTATTTTCAAACCAAGCCTATTTTCTCAAGTGCTGCCACAGGCAGTGTCCCAAGAACTGTATGAGGAAAGTATGAGCACTGTGACCTAAGGACTACTTTCACCTGCATGCCCATGAGTGCAAAGAACAGACGTTAAAAGTGATGTGACCAAGTGTAAATGCACTAGGATGGTAGCTTCCCTGACAAGGGCACAAACCAGGGTGTGTCTGTGCGGTTAATGTCACCTGAGCCACTGCAGCAGCCACAGAAACATTAAGTTGGAAAAGACCTTCAAGATCATCAAGTCCAGCCTATGACCAAGCACTACCATGTCAACTAGACTGTGGCACTATGTGCCACGTCCAGTCTTTCCTTATACACCTCCAGGGACAGGGACTCCACCATCTCGATGCGTAGTCCATTCCAATATCTAATCACCCTTCCTGTGAAGAAATTCTCTCTAATGTCCAGCCTAAACCTCCCCTGGAGCAGCTTAAGACTGTATCCTCTTCTCCTATCGCTGGTTGCCTGGGACAAGAGCCCGACCCCCACATGGCTGAAACCTCCTTTCAGGGAGCTGTAGAGAGTGATAAGGTCATCCCTGAGCCTCCTCTTCTCCAGGCTGAACAACCTCAGCTCCCTCAGCTGCTCCTCGTAGGACTTGCGCTCCAGACCCTTCACCAGCTTCGCTGCCCCTCTCTGGGCAGAGATACCCGTCGCAGAGATACAAGCGGCTGCCAGTGCCACGGCTGGCAGCGCCGGGGGGCTCAGTGCGGTCAGCGCGGTGTGAGGGGCCCGCAGCGCTGGATGGCAGCACTGAGGCGGCTCCGCTCCGTTCCGAGGGGGGCTGGCTGTGCCGCCGCGCCTGCGCCCGCGTCCCCGCGCCATGGCCGTGCACTACTGCGGGCTGTGCCGTCGCACGGCCTTTACGGGCCGCCGGCACCGCTACAGCGCGGGGCACCGCCGTCGCCTGCAGGACGCGCTGGTCCGGCTGCAGGAGGCGGCGGCGACGGCGCGGGCGGCGGCGGCCGATGTGGACGCGGCCGTGCGGCCCTATGACCCAGCGGAACACGACGGGCGCTTCTGGTGCCCGTGCTGCGGGCGCGGCGTGCTGCGGGACGGGCGGCACGGGGGGCTGGCGCTGCCGCAGGCCGGGCTGCTGCGGCACCTGGCGGGGTGCGTGGGCAGGGACCGGGAGGGCTGGCGCTGCCGCAGGCCGGGCTGCTGCGGCACCTGGCCGGGCACTGACGGTGTCCCGGTTCCCGCAGGCCCGAGCATCGGCGGGAGACGGCGCGGTTCTGGCGGGAGAACCGGGCGGAGGCGGCGCTGCAGGAACGGTGCCTGGTGCCGACTGAGGAGTACGAGCGGTTCGTGCGGGCGCTGGACCGGGCGCTGGCAGAGCACCAGCGGCGGGAGGAGGAGCGGATCCGCCAGGTACCGCCTGCCGCCCCCCGCACCATCCCTGGCCCGGCCCCCGCAGCGGCCCGGCTCGGCCTCACCCGCGCTCTTCCCGCAGATGGCGGCCGACATCCGGGAGGCCGAGCGCCGGCAGCGGGAGACAGTGCAGGCCGCGCTCCAGGTCGGTGAGCTGTATCCTGCCCTGGCTGCGCCCCGGAAGGGACCGGGCGTCGCACTGCGCGCCCTTACTGGAACCGGGTGCACTCGGGATGGGCTGGGGGCAGCTGGGTGGGGGCTTTGCTCAGTACCAGAAATACTGTTCTTTTTTCCTGAATCGCACTCAGCTTCAAACAGAGGCAGAACGTTGTGCAGGACCTTCTGTCTGCACCCCCCCCGCAGGACCTAAACGGTGAGCACTGCTTCCCTTAGCGATGGCTGACGTGTTCCTACTCAAAGCACCCGATGCGGTCGCAGCAGCTGCCAGAGTTGACGCTGTTGTCACCAGGATCTTATAATCCTTGGCAAATTTTTGTCTACACTGTAGTAAGCACTGGCCTCCATTCCAGGGACACCCCTCACGACGCAGAGCAGCCCGGCCTGAGTGGGACGCAGACAGGACCTGACTTACTCTGGATGGAATCAGGACAGTCTCTGACCTTCATTGGCCACCAAGTAAGGGTGACTGGCTAACAAGTGTGACTTCAATTTAACTGCAGTTCTCCTACAGCATGTGTCACAAAGCAGAACAAGGGGTGCAGTCTCTGTCATGAAAAAAACAGCTTTGTAGATTTGGGCAGGCAGCTAGTCCAGTTTCAGTTATCCTCTCTTAACTTTCATTAAGTAAATGTTCACTAATATGGCCTTAAAAAACCCAAATGCTCCTAAAAGAAAGTAACAAAACTTATTTCTGGAAGGGAAGGCACACAATACCCTTCAGTTCAAAGATACTCTTAAACATCAGATTCTCATTAGCATTTTATGTTTCTGTTAACAGGAAACAGAAGGAAAAGGAAATGTCCACACAGGTAATCGCACCTCCATCACAACTCACTGGGTTGCTATCTCTTGGCTTGCATATTTAACAGGGATAACTTAAAGCAGTTTTGAAGCAGTTGCAGCATAACCAGGAGATGCTCACTCTTCTGGCAATATTTGACATACTAGAGAAGAAAACGTTTCTGTGTTACAAAAATTCTGTTAGTGCTGCTGCTGTGGGAAGTGTAAGACTTAGGGTGTGATCTGCTGTGCCTTAACTGAGGAAACCAGCTCCTTTTTCTTACAACACCCAGACTTGACTTTTCATTTGCCCCTTGCTTGGTAGGCTGAGCAGAAGGATGGGGGAAGAGGAGGTGCTTTTCCCTATCTCAGTTTAGGATAACTTCAGTGGCTAAATAAATGTTCCCTGTGACTTCTAGGAGCAAAACCTCCATGGCTAACAGAAGAAGAGGATGGAACCAAACAAGAGATCGGACCTTCCTATGAGGAATTTCTCAGACAAAGTGAGCAGCTTGCACACCTTTCAGTTAACCTTAGTCACTTTACCGAACTAGAGAACTGAAAGCAATTTGACTGAAAAACTTGCTGAACAAAACATTTGGGGCTTTGAGCAACCTGGTCTAGGGAAAGGTGTCCTCATCCATGCCACGTGATCATCAAGTTCCCTTCCAACCCAAACCATTCTACGATTCTATGATTTTTTTTTTCAGAGGAGAAGCAGAAGCTGAAAAAGCTCCCGGCAGAACGTGTTGGTGCCAACTTTGACCATACCTCTCAGACAAGCGACAGCTGGCTCCCTTCCTTTGGGCGGGTTTGGAATCATGGCAGGAGGTGGCAATCCAGGTGAGCTTCAGGGCAGCACAGGTAGATGCCAAGTGGAGGGTTTGTGGCTTCTGTCCATGCAAGCTACTCCTGGAGCAGGCTCCGTGGTAGCAGCAAGCCTAAGATGTCTTGCCGCTTGAGTAGCGTTGTAGTGTTCCACTGGCATCTTTTAATGTGCCAGACCTGTGTCAGCTATGTGGAGAGACTGCTACTGCCCACTGACATAACAAAAATACTGAGTGAGCTCCCATGCTAAAACACTGCACAGCTCTGTCTTAATTGTTCAAGGCAGTGTTCATTATCTGTAAAGGCTGCTGAAATCTGACTTTTATGCTCTCTTTCAGGTATCAATTCAGAACTGAATCAGGGGAAAAGAAGAAAAAAAAGGTGATCAGATGAAAAACACCAAAGATGCAGCTCTGTTGTGGAAAGATGGACTGTAGGTAGCTGCAGTTTTGTTGGTGCTGCTGCCAAGTTTAGGGTCATGTTTAATATACATTTAGCTGTGCTCGGTCCCCTGAAGGCAGGGTGACCTCAGTACTGTTACTGAGAGCTACACTATAAGGACATGCAGTGTCCAGCTACACAACACGTGTCCTGCCAGCAAGGACAGGCTCCTGAAGATGCCATAACTTCATTATCAGAAAGCCTATTTTATAAAACAGGTGTTGCCAGTGGCCTACACTGACATGGAGTGTGACATCCCCTTAATGAATTTTTTGAGAAATAAAGGTTTTTTTTAAAATGTTCCTGTGTTTGTACACCAACTGAAACTCATTTCAAAGGCAGGGGCCACTCTGCAGGCAACTAATGCCAGGTGCCAATTTATATTGCTTTCCTTAATTCTAACATTCATTGTTTCACGTGGTCTAATATAATTGGCTGCTGTAGGTGATGCAAAAGTTCTTTCCCTTGTTGCAATATAAAAGCACGTTTGCAGTACACTCATAACTATGTGTAAAGGCAAAAACTGGCTGATAGAGGACAACAGCCATGACCGGTACCAGAATCCACTATTAATAATACATCAGTAATGAAATGTACACATTCTTGGAAAAGAAAAATTCTATCAGTAACTTTATTACGTGCATCTACATATGACACATTGTTGATAAGGTCACTGGAGAACCTGCAAAGCAAGAAGTCCCAAATCAGAAAACCAAGTCAAAGCAGGGTAGCACAGTGCAGACAGTCTGACAGCTTTGTTCCAGCAGGGACACTTGGCCATGGTATCCTGCAATAGCAGGGAGGACACATGTCCACTACCCTGCAGCTCACATTCCTTCATCTGATGGGCATAGGCACAGAATCACAAATTGCTCTTTAATTCTGGAGAACTGATGTTTCCACTAACGTCCCCTCAGAATGTCACTCAGAATGCAAACAACATACTCTTGAATATCTGGAAGAACAGCACCCCCCAGCCACATGAGCTGCCCGCTACACAGCACGTAGCCATCTGTTAGCTTGGACAGCACAACCCAGCTCTGTCTGCTAGCTCTGACAGCACAACTCAATTCCTCCTCAGCACCCAGCCTCACCTGCCTATGCATCCTCCCCTGCAGCAGGCGCATCTCCACCTTTCGTATTTCGGGTGTAGATCACTTGGGCGCGGTGCTTGGACACCAGCTTGATCAAACCTACGAAAAAGAAGGAAATTACATGAGCGTGCACGTACTGACAGATGCCAAGGATGTCGTGCTCCCTCCTAGACAGGCAATACAATGCGCAAGATGAAATACCAGAGGGTAGCAGCTTATACAAGGCTTTCATTCTGATCGGGCAGCAGTTACATCACAGCCTGTCCTCCTGGGAGCACTTTCTTAGTACAGCAACGCCACTGCATACAGCAGAACTGCTGCTCCATACTTTGGAGTGCTTCTGAAACACAAGCTAAGGCAGTGGTTCCCCAAAACCAGGCCAGTTTGCACATGGAGCAGTTCAGATGCTGCAGGAAACCTACTAAGTGAGCAAGGAAAAGAAAATAGCTAAGTCTGCACCAGCAGCTTTCTGTTTTTCCAGTTTTGAGTACTCACCTTTGCTGAGCAGCTCCTGGAGGGCAGCCCGAGCCAGGGAGCCTCGAATCTTCAGCCTCTCTGAGACAACTGCAGGTGTGATGAGCTTGTAGTTGGGCACTTCTTTGCACAGTTTGTCATAAGTGGCCTTGTCAAACAGGACAAGGTTGTTCAACTTGTCTCTGACTTTCCCCTTAGACCACTTCTACTTGAGAAAAAAAACAATGCCCCATAAGCCATCTTTTAAACAAGAACAAAAGATCGCGTTTAAGGATGCCCCAAGAATTGCACCATCAAATGTTTCCATATCACATCCCAGGTTAAAGTACTAATGAGATGCACAAAATGGCCTTTGTAAATGAAATGTTTTGCAAACGAAAATGTTGCAAATACCTACAGTATCTGCAAATAAAAGGACTACAGCCTTCTGCTACTCGGGGTCAACACCGTTATGTCCAACTTGTTGGCAGATGAAGAGACTGCTCCTCTAACAACACGATGTCCCCGTCCGGCCATCACCCACGCTCAAGGCCCGGCCACGCCGCCCGCGCCAGGCCTGCGGTCCCGCCCGCTCCCCGAGCCCTCGGCCCCGCCGGCTCCCACCTTCTTCTTGGCTTTGCCTCCGGACTTGTTGACCGGGTCCTTGTCCTTCTTGGCGGACTTGCCCGCGTCCTTCTTCTTCTTGTCGTCTTTGGGCGGCTGCGAGGTGGGCAGAAGGGTGGGGGGTGAGCGGCGGGGCACGGGGCCTCCCCCCGGGAAGCCCCGCGCGGGTTCCCGCCCTGCTCAGGGAGCCGCCGGCGCCGCTCGAGGGGGTCCCGGCCCGTCCCACCGCCCGCGCCCCGGCCCGGCCCCACTCACCATGGTGCGGCTACGGCTGCTCCGCAAGATGTCGGCGAGAAAGGAAGGGCCCGGCGTGCGGCGTGGGCGGGCCCCGGGCGGGCGGCGCGTCACTACCGGGGCGGGCGGACAGGCGGGGCCGCTGCCGGGGGACGGCCATGGCGATCTTCAGCGTCTACGTGGTGAACAAGGCGGGTGGCCTCATCTACCAGCTGGACCACTACGCGCCCCGCGCCGACACCGAGAAGACGTTCAGCTTCCCGCTCGACCTCGTCCTGCGCCCGCATGACGAGCGCGTCGTCGTCGCCTTCGGGCAGCGCGACGGCATCCGCGGTGCGGCGGGCAGGGAGGGCCGGGCGGGCCGAGCCGGGCTGGGCAGGACTGAGTGAGTGAGCGAGTGACAGATTGACTGAGTGGCTGACAGACTGACTGATGCCACCGCGCTGTCTCCGCAGTGGGTCACGCCGTACTCGCCATCAACGGCGCCGAGGTCAATGGGCGTTTCACGGCGGATGGGAAGGACGTGCTGGAGTTCCTTGGCAACGCCGCCAACTACCCGGTGTCCATCCGCTTCGGCCGCCACCGCCTCTCCTCCAACGAGAAGCTCATGCTGGCCTCCATGTTCCACTCGTGAGTCAGGGTGGGCCGTGAGGGGACGAGGATGCCACGGGCAGGGGTGGTGAGGGACGCTGAAGGTCCTGTCCCCACAGGCTGTTCGCCATAGGATCACAGCTGTCCCCCGAGGTTGGGAGCTCCGGGATCGAGATGCTCGAGACTGACACCTTCAAACTGCACTGCTTCCAGACGCTGACAGGTACCGTCCAGCACCAGGCACCCAGCACCACTCTGCTGTGCCAGGGCTGTCACTGTGCTCAGCCTTCCTTATGTTTCTGGCATTATGGCTCTAGGGATCAAATTCATGGTTCTTGCTGACCCGAGGCAGACAGGGATAGATGCTCTTCTCCGCAAGATCTATGAGATTTACTCTGACTTTGCTTTGAAGAATCCTTTCTACTCCCTGGAGATGCCAATCAGGTAAGGAGAAGCCTACTTTTAGTAACCCGGCTGCAACCCCTCATTGCTTTCTGCCTGGACAGTAACAAATGCAGACAGCCCTTAAGTAGCAAAGCAGACCCAAAGGCTGAGGGAAGAGGAAGCCACAGCACACTGCTGCAGGGACAGGACACTGACCTGAGTTCTTTCTGGTGCTGTTCTGCCAGGGGAGATACACTTCCTTGGCACACTCTGTTGTCCTAACTTAACACTCAGGCCTATACAAGGAGCTTTAATCTTAATTAAGGACCAAGCCAAAGCTCAGCAACAGTTAGTTGTGTCATAACTTCCCTGATCTCTCCTTGAAGGATGCAGAGCCAAAGGATGTGGAGATCCTGTCTTTCTTAGCTTTAGTCATCCCTTTTGCTTTTCTGACTGTTTCAGGTGTGAGCTGTTTGATCAGAACTTGAAACTTGCTCTGGAGGTGGCAGAGAAAGCTGGACCTTTCGGACCTGGATCATAGAGAAAGCCTTGCCTGTTGCCTGGACTCCTTACTCTGAAAAGTGGGGCCTCTCTTTCCTGGCTGGCCTCTCATGGAGCTCTCCCCTCCACAGCAGAGACTGCACATCCCCAAAACATGCTTCATTATCTCCTAGGATACCATTTTATCACCTTTGTTGTGAAACTTACGTTAAACAGATTTATTAGCGCTGTTTACATTGGGCCACAGGGGCTTATTCTGCTGTTGCAGCTCCACTGCACTTGGGTGAAGGAGGTGCAGGTCCATGGCCTTACCAAACTCAGTGGTTTTCTTTCCTGTCATAATTGTACATATGTATTTTTTCTGTATAGCTCTAACTTACGGTCTTGCAGAGGGTTCCTATACAGAAGTAATAAGTGTTCATTAACGAGGTGAACGGCTGCTTGCTTTCTATTGGTGGGTACATTTGTGCCAGCGGCACCGCAAGAGGATAAATGAGTTTTGGTGGTTTTCCTTATGCCATTCTCCTTAAGAAAACCTGGGCCCATGTGACACTGCGCCATTTTTATTTCACATATAGAAGATCATATAATTAAGTACAAAATTTAATTCACTTCCATTGTTTTAATTAAGGCTGACTAGCTACTCTTGAAATCAAGCTGTTCAGCAAAGTACCTGCATGCAGGTTCTTCACAAGTGGAACTTGCCTCTTTCAGGACCCTAAAGCAGTAAATCCTTTTGGGGAAAAACAAGAATACACAACAAAATCCCAATTAAAAACCTGAGTGTACTTATTGCAGAGTGCTGTGTCTGACTGCTCAAGGCGGTCCACAGTGGCTCTGCTAAGGTTGACTTGGAGGCAACCTAAGCCACTGCCCGCTGCCATGAGAGATGCAGCTCTTGACCAAAACCACCCCAGACTACACACCTTGTATTGAAAAAAAAAAAAAAAAAAAAGCCCATTCTACAAATAGAGGTTATCACAAAATCCAGCTGCAGAAATTGTGGGTTGGCGGTGGCTACTGTCACAGCTGGGGCAGTTTTCCTGGCTGATTTGCAGAGCACTCACTATGAGCTGACTTGGCAGCAACTGCCTCCCCTGCAAACCATTAACATTGCACACAGACATCACACCAGGCAGGATCAGTTCACTAGAAGGAGCTTCTTTAAATGCCACAAATTCCCTGGAAATGTGCCTGTTCCTAAGTGCTGTGGAGAGCCCTGCCACAACACGTCCTGCCATTTGCTTCTCCACAGCAACACTCCCTTGCTCCTAACAACTACCCCCGGTACAGCTAAAGCCTCACTGCTGTCAAAGCAGCCATGAGGCTGGACTGCAGTCGTCACGATTCCCTGCTCTGCCGCTGTCCTGGGGCCAAGCGCACAAGTAGCTCACACCAAGTGACCTGGGACAGCTGCACTTAATGGCAGCTGGACCAGGTGGACACAGGTGGCATAGGCTCAGTTCAGGGGCCCCTGAGCAGCGAAGCTGAACTGATTAATGTCTCAGTTAATGGCTGAGACAAACAGTAACAACAAAACGAAAGGTAAGTGCACCTGAAGCCGGTCCTTTCAGACCATTTGTAGTGGGGAAGCTCCAGCTGCGGAGCTTGCTCACTTCCTCAGCAGTGCTGTGAGAAAGAGGTACAGAAAAATCATTGCAAATGTAAACTAGGTGAATTATCACATCTCAAGGGAAAAAGTGATCAGTAGCAGGAACCTTGTGCTCTCAGGCACCTGACAGTGGATGAGAAGTTGAGACATTTTTATCTAGGTTGCAGCAATAGGTAAACTCACTCCTAGGCCAGTTAAACAAAAACGAGCATCATTCATGTCAGCGTGGGAACATCCTTTTCACCGAGCAGCTTATCCTCAGTCAGCCTTCTTGGGAATCCTGCCCATCTTGGTGCGGATGTTCCGCAGGAGGAAGAAAGCCACTGTGCTACCAATACAGGTGATTTCGGCTACCCAGAAGGCTGTGGCCCAGCTGTAGTGCTTAGCAATTGTACTGAATGGCAATCCAGCCAGGAAACCCCCAACTGCAAGGAAAAACAAACAGAAAACTAGTAATGCTTGTGTGCCCCAATTTTATCTGCCAATACTTGCTTTTGCATGTACAAATATTCCTAAGGCCTGGTTTGAACTTAAAGCCCAACGCAAAACCTGTTGGGCACAGCAGGAAGCATCCCTGGGGCTTCCAGCTCCATTATCTCTGCCCCTTACATGACTTCCCATGATCAGTTACTTGGCAGCCAGGGGCTAGACCATGCATCACCAAGAATGTGCAGGGGTTTTGTTTGTTTTTTGGGGAAATGGGTATAACTTACCGTTGGCCATGAGGGCCACTATGGCGTGGGAGGTGCCGCACAGGTTGGCAGGGGCACTTTCATTGGCTATGACCCCAAACAGGGCAATCGGCCCATATGAGGAGAACCCAAACACGGCTCCCAGAGTCAGGATCCACAGCTGTCAAAATAAGATAAGAAACAGGATCTGTGCACCTCAGCGCTATCAGTAAGCAGCTACTGACAATTCTCAGATCCCACACATGGTACCAGGGAGTTCTGACATGTTTGGACTGACACCAGCTCCCTGGCCTGCAGCAAAAAGAGCTCAAGCCTGTACAGATACATGCAGCCCAGCAGCATCTCCACCTTGACTTACGGCCAGTGCAAGCTCTCCTCCCTCCCACAGCTCTGCCCCCCACACTGTTAACACATCCTGTGATTTGCAAGCAAGAAACAGAACATCAAAGAGAGACAGGCAATGAGCCTGTGAAAGCACAGGAGAGAGCTGTGAATCAGGTTGTTTTCAAAAATAATCCTGGAGACACCAACTGACAGCTTTGTTTCAGTTTAGATGCATGCAACTGATCAGAGCATCTTTATTTATGAGACACCTCTCTCTGATCTGATAACCTCTATGCTACTAAACTGAGAACCAAAAAAGCCAAAAACAACCCAACAGTCTGAACTTCAGTGTTAGCTTAAGAAACCTACCTGGCCCAAAATTATCAGTCTCTTGTTTGCACAACAAAGGATAAGTAACACCCCTACACTACAGTATACTTTTTGAACTGTAAACACCATTTCAAAAAGCCCAGGAGGAAGTAACTGCCATCTTATTTTCCAGATATAAAACAGAAATGACGAATTAGGAAAACACTTGCCAGAAACTAAGCAGGAATACATCTGCCAGAGCAGAATCGTTCTTCCTGATCTCACCCACAAGGCCTCTTAACTGGCTACGTTTTACCTAACAAACAGAAGTCCTCAGAATCTTCTTTATAAGAACTTTAAAGATTTACATTTAGAGTTTTAAAGTGAGCATAATCAAATTACTTTAAGAAAAAAAGTTTTTTTTACAAAACTCACAGTAACCTCTTCTCAGTGCCCTGGTTCTAAGTTCTGAGGTGCTAATCAACCTCCCAGGATAGGAGTAAGGCAGACCAGGGAAAGCAGAAACAGGTAGAGGGAGAAAAAATGCAAGCAGAAACCTCATGTTCTTTTAGGCCTGTAAGATCAGCTAGAGGCTGCAAGGCTACAGTCCAGAAGTGGGGTTCCTGAAGAAGAAATAAAAAAGGAAAGGAGAAAAGAAGTTTAATTTATTTAGCAATAATGAGGGCAGATGCAAAAACAGCCGGTAAGGCAGGCTGCCCACATCAATCAGGAGCAGCCCAAGTCAGGCTAAGTCAGTGCTTCTCTGTAGCACAAAGAAACCCAAGGGAAGGGTGAAGACAACAGTCATCAAACCTCCCCGTTCAATGGCTATCACTACAACTGATGGCCAGCTGCTGTACGTGGATTACCTTGGGAGAGTCGCCTGTGACTGTGACCCGAAAGAGAAACATGGACACACACATCCCAGCCATCATGGAAAGCAGCAGTGTGTGACGAGGATTCCCATAGCTTGACAGACCCACCTGTAACACAGGAAGGAAAGCTGAAAGTGCGAAATTTGAGGGACCTCCTTCCTTTTATACTCGTAGTGACTAACTCCATCCACACAGTCCAGTCACAAACACAGATGGCACATCAGCAGCATGCCATGTACGCTGGCAGAACTGGGTATGGGCCTGTTTCTCAGTCATACCCACAGGGACACCACCTTGCCCAAGCCCCTTAGTGAAGCAGCTCAGATTGATTCTGTGTCACCTGCCCAGCACTCCTGAAGGTGCACATTACTTACTCTTGCTACTGCTCTGTCAGAAAGGTATCCAGCAGCAATGCTTCCCACCAGGCCCCCGATCTCCAAGGCACTCATGTAGGAACTGCCTAGAATGCAGGTGAAGTAAAGAACAGCCCATCAGATCTGGTATAAACAGCAAAGCTGGTGTGGATGTCAGACCAGCCCCACTGCTGTCAGCTCACAGTAAGCTCGAGCAGCTCTGTTGGACATGGCCCTCTGGCTAATCCTTGTTCAGGAATGTCTGTCTGCCATCCCAGGAGGGTCCTGGCAAGGGGGGCCTTTGTGCACACAGTAACTACATCACTGAGTTATTTAAACACCTGTGTGTATCTAAGCAGAACTAAAAGGTAGGCAAACAAGTCTCTCAGGTGGAGAGGCCTTTGTCCTTCTCCTGTACCCAGGCAAGCTCTGGGCAACACCTCCCAGATTGCAGCAAAATGCAGCTTTACATCTTACCCACAAGCATGGACTGTCCCCTCTCCTGGATCAGGAAGAGCTGTCCCCAGTCAGTACAGCATGTCTTCACTCCAAAAACGACCAGGTAGCCTGTCGAGAGTACCCAGAGGTACGGTGAAAGCAGCAGCTCTGTCAAGGTGCTATTGTCACTGGAAGAACCTGCAGGAAGGTCAGGAGGAGCATTACCACAGCTCAAGTACAGGTGCTGAACCACACAGACAGATCTGCAGATAGGATCCATGCACGAGAACGTCCCCACTCAGGGAGATATTCACAGCTGCTGCTTTACCTCCCCTTGTTCTGGTGATTTCAAAATCTTTTCTGTCATTTTATCCCACATTCATCAAAGATTTGAAAAGAATAATCAAAACACTGCTCCCAGGAATTTTCTGTATTGTGGTTGCCAATAAACCCTTCACAAAGGTTGTTAGAAAATTTATTGGCTTCTCCAGATTCTCTGGGAGAGATTTTAAGCTGTGCCTGTGAAAGCCACTGCACAGACCCAAAGAAAGATGCTGACTTTCAGGTGCTACTTTGAGTTTTGCATTAGTCTTCCAGAATACCAACAAACCTGCTCTCTCCAGAGAACACTCCGGGGAAGCAATATTCTTTTCTTATGCAAAAAGATCAAGTCTGGCAGCACAGGCATCATGGGGCAGTGTGGTACATAGGCTGAGTTTCCACTGGCCTTTAAAATACAACAGCCACCTTGTGTTGCAATTCCCCTCTACCTGCTCTACTTTCAGAGAACCACCACACTCAGTGGTCTGAGCAAACATTTACTAA